TCTCGGCTATTTGAAGAAATGCGTCGAAGTTATACACAGAAACTCTCTCCTCAGATATTTTTCGGTTAGATTGACACCTCTTAGGGTCGATTAAACCGCATTTTGATAATCTTAGACACCTAGCACGGTCAATTTGGCGACTTTTTAATATTGCAAAAAATCGAGGAGGACAGAAAATTTAGTTTTTTTCGATTTTTTAAAGGAATGCTTGAAAATTATGCACAGAATGTAATTCTGAGAAATCGTCCAATTGGATTGATACTTCTTAAGACCGATACGCAAAATTTAATGACCTTGGAAAAAATTGTTTTCTCGGTTATTTGAAGAGGTAATGAAGCACAAACGCTGTCCTGAGAAACTTTCCAATAAGATTGACACCCCTTAGGGTCGATTTGGCCGCATTTTGACTAACTTAGACACCAGTACGATCGATGTGGGAACCTTTCAATAATTCAATAAATTTTCCGATAAGATTGATAAAGGCCGATTCGGCGGATTTTAATGTTATTGGAGAAAAAAATTATCGGCTATTCGAAGAAATGTGCCAAAATTAAGCGCAGAAATTTTATCCAGACAAATTTTTCGATAAGAACCTGAGAAATCGTCCAATAAGATTGATACTTCCTAAGGTCGATAAGCAAAATTTAATGAGCTTGGAAAAAGTTGTTCTCTTCGGCTATTTGAAAAGATAATCAAGCACAAACGCTATCCTGAGAAACTTTCCAATAAGACTGATACCTCTTAGGGCCGATTACGCCGCATTTTGATGACCTTCTCCACCCGTCCGGTCGATGTCGGAACGTTTTAATAATTCAATAAATTTTCCGATAAGATTGATATTTCTTAAGGCCGATTCGGCGGATTTAATAGATCTTGGGAAAAAAATCCTCGGCTATTTGAAGAAATGCGTCAACATTAAACACAGAAACTCTATTCTGAAAAAACTTTCGGTAAGATTGACACCACTTAGGGCCGATTAAGCCGCATTTTGATAATCTTAGACACTAGCATGGTCAATCTGGCGAAAAATTTTGTTTTTCTCGATTATCTTAAGCAATGCGTGACAGTTAAGCACAGAATAGTAATCCTGAGAAATCGTTCAATAAGACTGATACTTCTTAAAACCGATACGCAAAATTTAATGATCTTGGAAAAAGTTGTTTTTCTCGGCTGTTTGAAGAGATAATCAAGCACAGACGCTATTCTGAGAAACTTTCCAATAAGATTGACACCTCTCAGTACCGATTAGGCCGCATTTTGATGACCTCAGACACCAGTACGGTCGATGTGGGAACGTTTTAATAATGCCATAAATTTTCCGATAAGATTGATACCTCTTAAGGCCGATTCGGCGGATTTAATGATCTTGGGAAAAAATTCTCGGCTGGTTGAAAAAATGCGTCAACATTAAACACAGAAACACTCTCCTGAGAAAATTTTCGGTAAGATTGACACCTCTTAGGGCCGATTAACCGCATTTTGATAATCTTAGGCACAGCACGGTCAATTTGGCGAAAAATTTTGTTTTTCTCGATTATCTTAAGGAATGCGTGACAATGAAGCACAGAATAATAATCCTGAGAAATCGTCCAATAAGACTGATACTTCTTAAGACCTATACGCGAAATTTAATGATCTCGGAAAAAGTTGTTTTTCTCGGCTGTTTGAAGAGATAATCAAGCACAAACGCTATTCTGAGAAACTTTCCAATAAGATTGACACCTCTCAGGACCGATTAGGCCGCATTTTGATGACCTCAGATACCAGTACGGTCGATGTGGGAACGTTTTAATAATTCAGTAAATTTTCCGATAAGATTGATACTTCTTAAGGCCGATTCGGCGGATTTAATGATCTTGGGAAAAAATTCTCGGCTGTTTGAAGAAATGTGTCAACATTAAACACAGAAACTCTATCCTGAGGAAATTTTCGGTAAGATTGACACTTCGTAAGGTCGGTTAAGCCGCATTTTGATAATCTTAGACACCTATTACCGTCAATCGGCAACTTTTTAATATTATAAAAAATCTAAAAAGGTAGAAAATTTTGTTTTCCTCGATTTTTTGAAGGAATGCGTGAAAATTAACCACAAAATGGTAACCCTGAGAAATCGTCAATAAGATTGTTACTTCTTACGACCGATACGCAAAACTTAATGATCTTGGAAAAAGTTGTTTTTCTCAGTTATTTGAAGAGATAATCAAGCACAAACGCTATCCCGAGAAACTTTCCAATAAAATTGACACCTCTTAGGGTCCATTGGGCCGCATTTTGATGACCGTAGACACCACTACGCTCAATCTGGGAACGTTTTAATAATTCAATAAATTTTCCGATAAAATTGATATTTCTTGAGATCCATTCGGCGGATTTTAATCCTCAGAAATCGCCAATAAGACTGATATTTCTTAAGACCGATACGCGAAATTTAATGATTTTGGTAAAAGTTGTTTTTCTTGGTTATTTGAAGAGATAATTAAGCAGAAACACTTCCTTGAGAATTTTTTTTTGCAAAAATTTGGACGTTTAACGAAAAAACTCAAAGCCGTTTTGTATACCACATGCATAGGAGTATATTGTTGTATAACATTTAAATCATTTTAAACTAGAATTTTTTGAGGTGACGTCATCAAATTATTGGTGGTGATGATTAGTCAAATTTTGGTTAGCGTTTAATCATCTACATGATATTCCTAATATACATATAAAATTTGACAACAATCGGTTTGGTAGTTTCGGAAATTACGTGTCTGATAAAAATCGATACAAACCGCACACAACCAGAGACAGACAGACAGAGGGACAGACACTCCTTTCGTAGTCTATTAGTCATGAAACGTCGAGAAAACATGAAATTGGCAAGTCGCCCGATAAAGTCATTTTCTATACTCCGTTAATAATATTTTAAAAATCTGCCGTTACTAAATATTTTAACCTAGTTATAGTTTGTTTAAAGCTGTCAACAAACAATTTTATAACGGGAGTGTCCAATTTTGGGAAGCAGACAATTAACGAAACAAAACAGTGATTAATTTTTGTTCAAATTTTGTCCGATCTTGGAAAACATAATTAACATTAATATGTATAAGTTTTTTTTTAAATAACTTGACGACAAAACATGTATTAACATTTGATGGGACACACCTATGGTTTAATATTTAAATAAATAATGTCGATAATATAATATGATATAATTTATTGATAAGTTTAGTAGTAGAACAGTCCTTTTATACTATTAAAAATATTTTCAAATTCATCTTTGATTTTTAAAACCTGTTGTTTTCGAAAAGTCGAAATCTTGCCAAGTTTTTTTCTTGTTTTCTTTGAAATTATCAAACTTATTATTTTTAAAGAGTTTGCAAGATTTCAGAGAGGTTGGTTTTATGCTGTCTAAATTAAATTCTAAAATGTTATTGTACAATTTCTAAGCGAAAAAATAAAGGTAACCACAGCTAAGGAAACATATTATTTTATTAGGTTTATCTAGGAATTACTTAGCAACGTTTGGAGATGATGTCATCGGTAGATATGATAGAGAGGTCTACAAAATATTCCAAAAATACACCTAAAATCTCAGAAAAATGAGGTTATTATCTGTCTAATTAAAACGTTAGCAGACACACTATGAAACTTCGAGCAAACATGAAATTAGCAATTCGCCAAAGTAACTCTATTACAATACTTCCCAAGCTTATGCTCGCGAGTTAAAAAAAATTGTGAAAGTCAAAATGGGAACTATATGTTTAACTTGAAAATTAAAAAAAATCATAACTTACTACGGTAGTTAACATCAATAATTTTGGAAAACCTGCAATTGTTTTAAAAAAGATGATCTCTAAAACTAAATAAGCTGAAAAACATTCACGATGTCCCGGAAATTTATTTTGTCTTTTTGTTCGTTTTAATCCAAAAATCTAAAACTAAATGAGTGAAAAAAACAAATTTTAGACTTAATGCCACCAGCTATGTTTTCGATGTTCACCCAAATAAGTATTTTGTTTTATGCTGATATAACCTGTCACGAAATTGTAACTGAAATCTTATGGTCAGATTAGAATGTACCGCAATTTTGAAAAATTTCAAAAAATTCGATCTTCACACCGAATATTCCGAAAATAATGCTCCGTGATCCTAAATACGCTATATTTTTGGAATCAGCACGTTAAGATCTGCAACTCCGAATTTTTTGAGAATTTTTAGACGACTTTTTCAAAAATTAAATTTTCCACCCTTATGCAAATTTCGACCCATTTTCGACGATTTTCGATATTTAACCAAACACATTTTCTTGTAGATTTCGGCCTCATTTCTTCGATAACTCCAACCGTTTTTCCAGAATCACCCACTGAAATATGTAATTAAATTTAAGGCCAAAATCTGGAGCCAGAAAAATCTGAAAATTATTTTTAGTTTTTAGTAAAAATTGTTAACTCACCCCTGTTTACAGAAAGCAGACACATCTTAATGCGATTCTTTTAAAGTTTGTGTTTAAAATTTAAAAACAATGACCCACTTTATCACACAACTTTGTAGCAGTGCTACTTTTTAGAGTATGATTTGACTAATCATTCCATTTTTCGTGTCGTTATTAATTTTTAATATAAAGGGTATTCGGCTCCAAGTATATAATTAGTACTTTAAAAATGAGCAAATTAATAAATTACAGCCCTTTCATAAAATGGTAGTGATAGATAGGTACCTATTAATAAATTTCTTAAAATTCCTCTTCAAAACCACCCTATAATTAAATTGAATATTTCACCAACAGAACAAATGTTTCTTAGATTTTATTAAATAATCAGCTCGAACTCAATTAAAAATACCGATGCTTTCACTTTTCTACTACTTATTATTTAATACAAACCAACGAGAAATTTCGGACGTTTAAATTTTTTAAAATAAACATTAATTAATATTTGACGAAGTCAACAAAACACTATATAAAAGTGGATAATAATCAGTGACCTATTTACTTCTCTTTATACTTCATTTCCAACAACATGAGTTTCACCATACAAGTATAAATCACAAACAACCATCTCACAAATTAATACACTCTTTTTAGGACTACGATTTAAAATCTGCCTTCAAACTAGACAAAAAACTCCTACTACTCGCCGGGTTTTACCCACGAAGAACCACAAAAAATCGCCTTTCATACATTTTCAGGGCCACCATAAACGTATTTTTTTCGGTCGCCCAACTCCTGTCAATGACCATCCAAATGATAATCGACAGAAACAACGTTTCGAAGGTCTCCGACTCCCTTCAGTACTTCACCACACTTGTCACTTTCGTGTGGAAAGAAATATACTTCGTCAAATACAAGAAAACTTTCCTGGAGATTGAGGATGTGTTAAGTGCGTCAATTTTCTACGGATATTCGAGCCACCACTTCAAGTTACTCAAAGACAAAATAGGCTCTGGACATGCTGGTGGAACCACGTTTAGAGTTTTGACTGTAGCAGCTGTAGGATTTTGGGGTCTGCCACCTTTTTTAGACCCCCAAAAGTACAAAACTTTACCCATACCTGGCTGGTTTCCGTATAACGCAACCGAGTATTATTATCCTACTTTTGCTTTTCAAATTCTGGCTGTTGCGAATACTGCCTACACTAATTCGACGCTTGACATTTTGTCTTGGGTGTTGATGAGTATAGCGTCTGGTCAACTCGAGATGTTGAAGGAGACTTTGAAAAGTATGAACTATGAAGAAGCTGATTTGAAGACAGCGGAAGAGCAACTGTAAAAGTGTGTAAGACATCATTTGGAAATTGTCAAGTGAGACAACAACTAGTGATATGTATCAAAACTTGCATTCACAGGTGTCGTTTTACAGTTTAGTGTCCAAAATTGAAAAGGTGTTTTCCAAGGGGATATTTTTGCAGATTTTCGCCAGTGTAATTGTCATTTGCTTCACTGGTTTCTTGATGATGCTAGTAACTATTGTCACTAGTGTGATAGTAATCAGTTTATTAACTTAAATTTTAGGTGCCTGTTGCCAGTATGAAGTTTACTCATACTTTCACTTATTTGGCCTGTATGATGTGTCAAGTGGCAATGTACTGTTGGTACGGCCACGACGTCATGACAACAGTTAAGTCACAAAATCAGTTATTGCGTAATCTTAACCCTTATTTTAGAGTAACACAATTGGGGACTCTTTATACATGTCAAATTGGTACGAATCTGACGTGAAGTTCCGCAAAAGTGTCTTCATTTTTTTGGAAAAAACTAAAAAACCTGTAACTTTGACTGCTGGTGGATTTGTAACGTTGTCTTTGACTACGTTAACTACTGTAAGTGTGTACAGAAATATTGTCTAGTTGTGTTATCATTTGTTTCAGATTTTGAGATCGTCGTATTCGTATTTCGCCGTTTTACGACACATGTTTAACGATGTCTGAATAATATTAGTCTACTATAGTTCTAGAGTACGTTTAGTCGCATTGTAAAATTGTTACTGTATAAAAAACCTAAATTAATAAACGCCTTTGAAATCAGCTGAACATTATTTGTCTGTATTAGTGAGTGATTAAAAGGGGTTATGACGTCATCGCAATTTTTTTAAACGGAAACTGCTCTTCGTTTCGTACTTTAAAAGAAGGAATAATAAAAATCTCTACATTAAGGTAATTTTTTTGTGTATCCGTCTGTCTGTCGATTCTGTCCAGATCCCAAGGCAATCTAAAGATGCCTTGGGATGTATGTAGATTATTTCCAGAAAAATATTATTATTATTAAAAGTTATCCTGTATAAGGAATTCCGAAAGCTATGACTGGGTAAACTATAAACTGCATAGACTCTTAATATTTGCACAATTTAGATACGATTTATTCAGCAAAATTTTGGAACGACGTCATTATAGTTTTGGAGGGAGTGCTATTTTTTGCATTTATAAAAAAAAAAAATAACATTTATTATGTAATTTCATGTTTTCTCGACGTTTCGTGATCCTTAGAATATGAAAAAGTAGATTTCGCGTTTTTATCTGCGAGAGAAGTTCTGTCTAAGTAATCTTAGACTAATTTTTTACTAAAATAAATTATTTAATTTTTTTAGACATCATAGATAAGCGTTAGAGCTAACTTGAGCCGAAATTTAAAAAAATTCACCCGGTAAAAGAAATTCCAAGAGATCTGCAAATTTTGGGAAAATTTTGATCAGAGATCTACTGCGTTTACGGTAACCTAAAAGGGTTTTCAAGCTCCAGAGCAGTCTGTTTTGTATTTTGCAACTTAAATAATTGTTAAATGTTAGTTGCAAAATTTTGAATTTCTCTGTAAAAAATCAAAAAATAAAGGCAGATTAATAAACCATAAGTATAGATTTTAATTTTTTTATCAAATTGATATTAGTTTTTCTACTAAAACTCTAAAATGATGTCATTACACTGTTAGTGGGGATGTTCCGAAAAATTTTGGTTAGCTTCACTTTTCATTTTACCATGTAAAAGGTACTCCCAAAATACATAAAAAATTTCACAAAATCTATGAATTGGTTTCAGAAACAATCTGCCTAATCAAATCGCCAACAGACGACAGACCACAGGCAGACAGACAGAAAAAGAGGATTTACTTTTTAATCTTGTAGGGAACTACGTCGAGAAAACATGAAAGTAGCCATTTACCAAATGGACTCTACTGCAATACTTTGCTTACGATCGGGATTAAAGATCGAATTTTCCATTTCAAAGATGTTTTAGGTTTCATATTGCTAGTAGCTGCCAAGACAAGACTGATTTTGGCAAATGCCATACCCTCTAAGAAAAGAGAGAGTAGGTGGGCGGGGCTAGTAGCTGCCAAGATAAGAGTGATTTTGGCTAATGACATACCTTCTAAGAAAAGAGAGGGTAGGTGGGCGGGGCTAATATCTGCTAGGATAAGATTCATTTTGGCAAATGAGATCCCTACAAGAAAATGGTGGTTGAGTGGGGATAGTACCTGCTAAAATCAGTTTTGTCTTACCAGCTACTACCTCCGCCCACCCACCCTCTCGTTTCTTAGAGGGTATGTCATTTGCCAAAATTGGCTTGTTTTAGCAGGTACTGACCCCGCCACTCACCTTCTATTTTCTTAGAGGGATCTCATTTGCCTAAACAGTCTTAACCTAGGAGGTACTAGCCCCACCCACCCACCCTCTGTTTTCTTAGAGGGTATGTCATGTGCCAAAATCAGTCTTATTCTAGCTAGTAGTTACTATGATAAAACTGATTTTGGCAAATGAAATACCCTCTAAGAAAAGAGAGGGTGGGTGGGCGGGTCTAGTATCTGCCAAGATAAGACTGATTTTGGCGAATGAGATCCCTCTAAGAAAATAGAAGGTGGGTGGGCGGGCCTAGTACCTGCCAAGGTAAGACTGATTTTGGCAAATGAAATACTCTCTAAGAAAAGAGAGGGTGAGTGGGCGGGCCTAGTACCTGTCAAGGTAAGACTGATTTTGACAAATGAGATCCCTCTAAGAAAAGAGAGCGTGGGTGGGCGGGGCAAGTACCTGCTAAGATAAGACTAATTTTTTCAAATGTCATACCATCTAACAGAAGAGAGGATGGGTGGGCGGGGCTAGTAGCTAGTAGCTCTCACATATATTTCCTCCCAAAGATTGATGACGTCATCGGAAAGTTTTGCCGAATAAATCCTCTCTAAAATATGCCAAATATTATGACTATGTATGTGGTTATCATAGATTTTAGAATTACTTATACACGGTGACTCAATGAAATTAATGAATGAGGCAATTCATTGCCTTGATTAGAATCCACTCCCCGAAAATTTGGAAATACAGTACCGTTATTATTAATATTACATGCATTTTTGCAATAAAATTTTGTAATCGAAAAAATCACTCACACAAATAAAATTCGCAAAATCAAATCTTATGTTTTCGACAATTTTTTGAAACCACAATTTTTTTGTTTCTTCATTTTTTCAATTTCCAATTTTACACTTTTTCGATTTTAGAATTTTTTATTTTTCGATTACCCAGTTTCTCAATTTTTAATTTTCGGCACTTTTTCATTTTTTCGATTTTACAGTTTATTCAGTTTTGCAAATTTTTAATCTTTGATTTTTCAGTTCCTCGATGCCCATTTTACAATTTTTGAATTTTTTAATTATCCGATTTTGCGATTTGTTCAATTTTCGGCAATTCGATTTTACAATATTTCGTTGTTTCGATTTTGCACTCTTTCGATTTTCAATCTTTTTATTTTTCAATTTTTGATTTTTAATTTTTCCATTCTTGAATTTTTCGATTTTCAATTAGCAGCTACTAAGAAAAGGGATGGTGGATGGGCGGTTATACTAGTATTTGCTAAGATAAAACTGATTTTAGCAAATGACATATCCTCAAGAAGAGAGAGGGTGGGTGGGCGGGGCTAGTATTTGCTAAGATAAGACTGATTTTGGCAGGCACCAGTTTTTCATTTTCTTTATTTTTAAAATTTTTCGATATTTCAATGTTCCGATTTTATAATTTTTAAGACTGATTCTGGCTAATGACATACCTTCTAAGAAAAGAGAGGGTAGGATGGCGGCGATAGTATCTCCTAGGATAAGACTGATTTTGTCAAATGAGATCCCTGTAAGAAATTAGTGGTCGAGTGGGGTTAGTACCTGCTAAAATCAGTTTTGTCTTACCAGCTACTAGCCACGCCCACCCACCCTGTCTTTTCTTAGATGATATGTCATTTGCCAAAATCGGCTTGTTTTAGCAGGTACCGACCCCGTCCACCCGCCCTCTATTTTCTTAGAGGGATTTTATTTGCCAAAATCAACAATTGACGTATTCTCTTCGTCCTTTCAGAATAGAAACTTAAAACATACTTAAAACGGTAAATTCTTGTAGACAAATATGGATCTTGCAATTAAGCCCCGCCCCTCGATCTAACAACGAATGAAAAATTCATCACAATTGAGAACTGAGGTCGGGCGGGTATGGGTGGGGCCTAATCTTTGGCTTTATTTTTTTTAATATACATAGTTATTCTTTGAACAACACGATTCTCAAAAACATGTTAGAAATAAGGATTTTGCAGTTAAACTCCGCCTTCTTGGCTCACGACGAATAAAAAAAATCATCACAAATGAGATAGGGCGGGTGGGCGGGGCTACATTTTGTTTGTTTTTCTTAATGTGTGTAGACTTATTTCGACAACAGGAATCTTAAAACACGTCTAAAATAGTAAAAAATAGATATTTGGAAATTGTAAAATTTAGAATTTTTTATAGACACTTAGTATACTAAAGTTTGATTTAAATGGACATCGCAACAAAGCACGTATCTCTCTTTGTCCTTCCACAAAAAAGTATAAGACTTAAAAAATAACCCTTCCAATGCCAAAAAATTTGGGGAAAATTGAAATAACGTGGTAACGTCGCCTCAGAATTTCAAAAATAAAGTGTAGTTATAAAGCCTAGGAGAGACTTTGTATAGTTAAAAATAATTTCAGGGCACAGTACTTAAAGAACCGTAAAACTTTGGTCTTTGAATTTTTTGGTATCTCTAATAATAATTAATGAGATATCATGGAGCACGCGCTTATTAATTCACCTTGTAGATATCTCGAAAATTAAAAAAAAAATTAAAATCTGGAAAAGGTAATTTTTTTTTAAGTAGTTGAAAATTAAAACTAATCACTACTGGTAGTTATTATCATTTTTAAACAGTGGATAACCATTTTTTTCATTATTATGTTCTCTAGGATAATCAAACTGAAAAATGTTTAAACATGCGCGGTTTACAAAAAATTCTTTTGTCCTTCTCTTTGTTCCCATTTGTAACTGTTGTCAAAAATTCTTTAAATAATAATAATAAAAATAATAAGAAAAACATTATTTTAACTACTAAACATTTTGAAAATTCGTGATAACTTTTGTGGAAAGCTAATCCATAATTATTCGCTTTAATTAATAATTGAGAGCAATCTGAAAAGAAATCGCAAATGATTTGTCAAACTATAGTTAGTTGGTGAAAGGATGTTTTTTTCAAAAATATCAAAACTAAAAAGTGAAAAAAATCAAATCCACCTTCATGAGAGCGTCTTTCTTATATTCACCGTAAGAATAAAAAATTTTGAGATCTCCGAAAACCAATTTTGTAAAATCTGAACAATCTTGTGGGCAGCAATTTAAAAAAATAAAAATGTACTGCTATTTTTTACATATGGCAGTTATCAGGTACACAGTTATTGCCACCATAAAAGGTTATAGAAAGTAAATCTGGCATCAGATGAAATACATCTGAACGGTGTTAATATTTGCTTCGATCTTTTATTGTTTTTCAGTTTCCTCGATATTCTTAAGTGTGTCAGAATTTTAAAATGATATAAAACAAGCTTAGAATTAAAAAATGATTTCTTATAGAAATTAATGTTTGAGTGCTTTCTAGTCCGTCCACTAAATATTACGAAAAGCTTAAACAAATAAACTTAATTTACCTGTAAGAACTGCAGTATGGGGAACGTCAAAATCCACCAACTCAAATGTTACTTTTGTACTAATTGAGAGATCTCTGAAACCTACGGTCTTTTTGAATTTTCTTTAAACCCCTTCCCCCAATACTTAACAAAGTGAATTATTCCCAACACAGTAATTTATAATGCATATCGTTAAAAACAACTCAAAAATCACTAAATTATACCTTTACGTAAATTACCACTGATAGGTGGTTATTAAAGAAAAACAATTTTACATTTTCTTGAAACTAGCTAAACCCATAATTAATCCGAAGGGTGCATTAATATTTGACAAAGTGAACAAAACACTTTTTAAACTGAGTAATAATCAATCACCAATTTATTTCTCTGAAAACTTCATTTCCAACAGTTTCCCGACTGCTTTAACATGAGTTTCACTATACAAGTACAAATTACCAACATCAATCGTCCCACAAATTAACCCACTCTTTTTAGGACTACGATCTAAGATCTACTTTCGCTCTAGACAAAAAACTCCTACTATTCGCTGGGTTTTACCCCCAAAGAACCACAAAAAATCGCCTTTTATATTTTTTCAGAGCCGCCATAAACGTATTCTTTTCACTCGCTCAACTCCTGTCAATGACCATACAAATGATAATCGAGAGAAACGACGTTTCGAAACTATCAGAGTCCCTTCAGTACTTCACGACACTCGTCACTTTTGTGTGGAAATTAATCTATTTCGATATCTACAAGAAAACTTTGCTGGAAATCGAAGATGTGTTAAGTGCCTCAATTTTCTACGGGTACTCGAACCAGCAGTTAAAGTTACTTAAAGACAAGGTAGCTTCTGGACAGGTTGCTGGAACTACGTTCAGAGTTTTATCTGTGGCGGCTGTCGCGTTTTGGGGGCTGCCACCATTTTTGGACAGCCAGAAGTCAAAAAGTTTACCCATTCCGGGGTGGTTTCCGTATAACGTAACACAGTATTACTATCCGACTTTTGCTTTTCAAATTTTGGGTATTGCGAATACGGCCTACACTGATTGTTCGATTGATATTTTGTCTTGGGTGTTGATAAGTATAGCTTCGGGTCAGCTGGAGATTTTGAAAGAGACTTTGAAGAATATCAACTACGAGGAAGGAGACTTGAAGACAGTGGAAGAGAAATTGAAGAAAGGTGTGAGACATCATTTGGAAATTGTCAAGTGAGTCAACGCTTGTGGTTATTAAAGAATAAAAAATTCTAAGTTGTCGTTTTTAGTTTAGTGTCCAAAATCGAGAAGATGTTTTCCAAGGGGATATTTTTGCAGTTTTTTGCGAGTGTTATCGTCATTTGCTTCACTGGTTTTTTGATGATGATTGTAACTATTGTGATTATGTGGTTGTTATTAATGTTATTAGAGAGTCAAATTTTAGCTGCCTGTTGTCAGTATGCAGTTTGCTCTGACTTTTACTTATTTCGTCTGTATGATGTGTCAAGTCGCAATGTATTGTTGGTACGGCCACGATGTCATGACAACTGTAAGTTAAGTTACAAAATTTGTTGTCACCTAATATTAATTCTTATCTTAGAGTAGTACAATTGGAGACTCTTTATACATGTCAAATTGGTACGAATCTGACTTGAGGATTCGTAAAACTATCTTCATTTTTTTGGAAAAAACTAAAAAACCTGTTACTTTGACTGCTGGTGGATTTGTAACGTTGTCTTTGACTACACTAACTACTGTAAGAATGTACAAATCTATTTCCTGGTTGTACCATCGCTTGTTTCAGATTTTGAGATCGTCTTATTCGTATTTTGCAGTTTTACAACGTATGTACAACGATGAGTGAATAAATAATATTAGTGTACTATTCTCCTAGATACTTTTAGTTACATTTTAAAATTGTTATTAGGTAATATTTGGCAAAAAGTACTTAAATTTATAAGCGTATTTGAATTCAACTGGATTTATAATAAATTCGAAAAAAGCACTGTTCTGAGTGATTGTAGATAAATATATATGAACACAGAAACATACAGTGACTCTATTTTAAAAGAAGTTATAACGTTATATCTCTACGTTAATTATTTCTTTTTTTTTTTGTAAAATTTAATTGTAACATATAGAGGAGAATAGGCAAGTAGAAACAAAAATCAACTGCCATAAAGGTAAGTGGTTATTGTTTTGGTTCTATCGAGATCGTCAAAGTACGCCAATTGATAACAAATATAATAGAAAATTTGATAGAAAGTTATTTGGAATTAAAAGTGAAAGTACTATTTTATATATTTAATAAGACATTCATGTCACTAGCTTTTTTCCATTTTTTTGCATAAAATCTTATAAGATGCTTAGACGAAATGGTGAACGACAAAAAGAAGATCGTAGCAAAAACAATGTTTGAAGAACATCTTGAAGAGAATGATCGTATTTATCGATGACGATTTAACAAAAAGAATGGGAAATACAAAAGAAAATTAGGGAATTTGTGAAGGAACAGAAGAAAAATTTGGAATGATACAAGAGTTGCATGAACCGAATTTCGACAAGCAGTAAAGCAACAAAGAAATAGGTACGAGAAGGTTGCAAGAGATTAAAAAGCACTAAAAGAGAAAATATTATCAAAAAGGATAATATTACAGTTTTATTTTGGAACTTGGGGGGACTAAAGTTTAAATATTTTAGCTTTTGGATTATATAAAAGGGTTTGACATTATAGGTTTAACAGAATCGTGGCTAGATGATAAGGATTTGGAAAAAATGAAAATCTCACTAAATAACATGAAGAAAAAATAGAGAAACTATTTATAGGAGATATTATAACAGGAGTATAAAAAAACATTCCAGGAATGGAAGAGATTAACTTAGAAGAAGAAGAGGAGGGGATTATGGAATGAAAAATAGCGATCAAGGAGGAAATACGGAATATATTTACAGTTCACAGCAAAGAATTGAAGAATCCTAAGAGGCAAATAGATAAATTAATAGAAGAAAATAACAGAAATTCTATAATAATAAAAGTGCCGCTACAAGTGACGAGGGTTGAAGGTGAAGATGAAGAACAATGTAAAAAGAAAAGCAAAAGATACAAAGGAAAACTCTCAGAAGGAAGAATTTTATTTTCTTGGAAATAATAGAAAACAGGTATGGGAAATACTAAATGGAAATAACAAGGGGTTTGAAGATGGAGAAAGGACAGAAGATGAAGAATACTGGAGAAAGAGAATTACAAGAACAGAAAGTTGAAGATAGTCAAGAAAGCGAGATAAGAATTTGAAATGAAGATCAGGCAAAGAACTGTGAGTGTAAAATGTTGGTAGCCGTTTTTAAAGTCGGCAGTAGAGAACTAAAACACTACATAAATGAGGCAATAACAAAGAAGAAAAGAAAGAAACGGCAAAGCCTGGAGGAAAATAGTTCAACGAAAGTGTCGGAAACTTAAGATGAAGGCAATGACTTTCCTGCGACAATGGAGAAAGAATAAATTTAAAAGGGAGAATATTACCAAACGAGGGAAGAATACAGAAAAATATGTAAAGAACGGAAACAAAGAAATAATGAAAGAAGAATCAGGAAGAAAATCAGTAGCAATATTGATTAGGAAGAGGATGGTTTATTTTATGAATACTATATAGTACATTATAGGTAAAAAAATTGGGCCAAGGTTACTTCGACAGAATTTCCCTAGCTCTTGAAATACAGTCCAACAAATTACGCTTCTTTGAAGATTAAAAAAAATATATATTTGTTTTCTGATGACCATTGTATATTAAAAACCAGTGGTGTAAATGACACCTCGAACTCCCTGCGCCGCGAGGGTGCAAATTCCAATTCCGTCCGCGACATATGGACAATATGAGATATATTCAAATTCAATAACCTTCAGAAAATAGTGAATCATTATCAGTGTACATGCTTAACTTCGATTGTTTATGTTTATACATCGAAAGAATGTCACGTCGAAATTTGTTTAATTTGAATGAGTTGTTTCCTCAAAACAGACGATTAAAATTATTAATTATGTCACAATGGAAGAAAATATTTTGAGTATGATTATTATTAATCTTATTTTATCATAATTAAATAAACACGTAGGTATTTTCTAAAAAACGAGGTTCTTAATTTGATCAGTAAAAAATTGGTGGAAGGCTGTATGTATAATCCGGCAAATCTAGCTCTTCAAAAAAAAAAAAAAGTTTTTACGATTTTCGTTTTGTGATAACCGCTGTACAGTAAAAACCAGCGGCATAATTAACACCCCCGCAGCCCCTGCGCCGTACGGACAGTGTAAAATATATTTAAGCACATAACTAACGGGATAAAATGTCCTTCAGCACTAGGTAATAGTGTTTATTTATGTTTATACATCGAAAGAAGGTTACGTAGAAATTAGTTTGATTTGAATGAGTTTGTCTTCTCAAAACAGAGGATCAAAATTCATTATTAATTAAACCACAATCGAACAAAATGTTCTGAATATTATAATTCTTATTTTTTATATTAAGACGTGCGTATTCTTCACATTTTCGAAAAAACGGGATGACTCCTTAATTTGACCAATAAAAAATTTGTGATGATAGTCGCAGCGTATCAGAAGGCCAAGTTAGGCATCGAACATCGAATTTGAACATTTAATGAAAAAACTAAAAGCGGATTCATGCACTACAAGCAGAGGAGTATATTTTTGTATAACATTCAAATCATTTTAAAGTACAATTCATTGAAATGGCGTCATCAGATTGTTGATGAGAATAATTAGCCAAATTTTAGTTAACATTTAAACATGTACATGATTTTTCTAATATACATACAAAATTTGATAACAATCGATCCAGCAATTTCGATCATCAACCCACAGAAGGGGGAAACAAGAAAGAAGAACAGGATTTAATAATAAGTATTACCAAAAATGAAGCCGAAATCCAAATTAAGACAATTAAGAAGATAAAAAAGGAAAAGCTGAGGGAGGGGTTGGGTTCAATAACGAAGTATGGGTGTTCGGAACGACAGGTATGGTTAATAGGGTGGTGGGAATAATGGATGATATGTGGGAGGGATAGGGTTTCCAGGGAAGTGGAGAGAAGAACTCCTTTACCCAATCCATAAAAAAGAGGACACAAGTAAAAAGACAAAATAGACAGGAATCTACTTTAAATACGTTTATAAACACATTGAAGATGAAGTTAAAATTGGAAAAATACAGAAAATGAGGAAAAAATATCTCCTACAGTTTAGTACACATGTTTATGTATTACTCGTACATTCATTTACAGAAATAGCATGCTTATTTATCTGAAGTTCAGAAATCCACCTCTGTTTTAATTTGAACTTAATAGAGTGTATCCCAAAGAAAATAGTTGAAACAAATTATACAGTTTATTTAAAAAAGTAGACTTGTTGGATTGTGCTTCGAGGACAAGGGAAATTCCATAAAAATAACTTTGAACTAGATTTCCTGGCAGTGGTGGAATAAGTGTGCATATTTTTTTATTATTTTCATATTTTTATATTTTATAAACATCATGTAGTACTCTACATTAAAACGTATTTAGAGTGGTTGAATCAATTATATTATTGGTGATCATATCGAATCTAAAATTGTTGTTTATCTTTGGACATATAGTTTTAAAAATAAACATGTTTTACAGATGTAAGATAAATGCTGTTTCCAGGAAACTTAAATGCTGTAAGATACCGAGAACAAATTTTAACTCCATTTTTAAATCAACTGGATGATGGTGAGTTAGTTTGTGGTTACTTTCAGCGGGATGGTGCTACTGCTCATACAACTGGAGCCACAATAGATTTTTTGGGTGAATTTTATAACAATAGGATTATTAGTTGTAATACATCAAACAAGTGGTCGCCTTGATCATGTGATCTCACTCCTTGCGCCTACTTCTTGTGACCATATACAGGGTGTTATTGAAATGTACGTACAACAAAATGGACAGTTCTTCGCGAAGTCTAAGAAGTCTGAAAAATTTATTTTGTATTATCAAAATTATAAGGGAAAAATTAACTCGTATCCAAATTTTTTATACGCTACTGATGGATAAAATTAATTTATTTGAGTAAATCCTAGCAACTGTAACAATACAACTTTTGTCAAGACTAAATGTTGCTACAGAAACGGAAGATGATCTTTTTATCAGAGGCGTACAACGAATTTGAACATGAATTTTAATAATTTTTATATCTAAAAGGAGAACACTTTTACCTGAACTTTTTTTAACTTTTCGCACCTATGCTTCGAGACCAATTGCCGATTTTATTTTGTACGTACCTTTCAATAACATGCTGTATATACACAAAATTTAACTTATGCAACACCCTCGGAAAAAATGCGAAATAGGATATTTTGGTTTATTTGTTTTCACTACCATATATATAATTAATGTTTTTTTGAATAGAACTTTTTTTCTGAATTCATTGATGTAGCACAATCTTAGTTCCTTTCTGACTGAAATGGCAAAATAAATTATTTTAAATAAGAATAAATAAAAGAGAAAGATGGCATAGTTACTTTTGAAAATAATTTTAATTTGACATATAAGGTGTTAGTGCCTAGACTTAGAAAATTGTTTCCCAATTATCAAAATTCGGAGTTACCAGCAGAAACTATTTGGTTTCAACAAGATGGTGCTCCACCCCATTTCGGACGTCAAGTGTGACAGTACTTCCTGGCAGATGAATAGGCCGAGGGGGTGCTATTGAATGGCCTCCCAGGTCACCGGATTTGACACCGCTTGACTTTTTTTTGTGTAGGTATTTGAAGAATCGCGTTTATGTCAATAGACCGATTCACATTGAAGACCTACAGGAACGCATACATGACGAAACTGTCAGCAGTCGTCCAGAAATTCTCATTAACTCACTACAAAATTTTATTCAGCGTCTTTTTTACTGCCAGGAAGTAAATGGAGAGCATTTTGAGCATCTTTTCTAGAAAACAGAAGTATAATTTTGGTTTCGGTTGTTATTAGTTAAATTATTTATTTTATACAGAAAGAAAGTATGACTGTGCTATATCAATGAATTCAGAAAAAAAAGCTCTATTCAAAAATGCATTAGTAATGTGGTAGTCCCATTTAAAAAAATCAAGTTGGTCTTGCATCTCGAAAACAAATGAAGCAAAAAAAAATTTTTTTTGACAAACAATTAGAGCACAACTTCTTGTACTCAATTTGGGTTGATTTGTACAATTGGTTCTCAAGATGTTTAAATTCATATATTCTAGCGACCCTGTATAACAGACCCTACAGATGAAGTAATCCTTCTAATAAACATTATGATTTTAATTACTTCCATTTATTTTTTATTACTAAAGTAACTTGTTAACACAGAACACTTGTCACTTGTTTTTTTTTAATTTATAAATTTTGAAACATTAAACATTCAAATTAAAAATTATTAATATTTTCGTGAATATTTTAAGAAATTTTCATGTTTATCTACATTTCGTAGATTCTTCACTTCTTCAGTTAAATAAATATAATTGAAATAAATTTAAAACTCTAATCTAGAAAGAGAATCATCTGAAAACTAATTTCAGTTTCCAGTTAAGTTTGTTTGTTAACTTACCCCTGTTTAGAGAAAGCAGATGCATGTTTGTACACTTTTTTCTGCTTTTTTGTTTGAAATTTAATAAACACTAACCTACTTTGTCAGACAACAACGTGGGAATGCCATTTTCCAGAGTATGCTTTGACTAATTATTCCATTTTTCCCGTGTCGTTATTAATTTTTAATACAAAGGGTATCCAGCCCCAAAGCGTATAATTAATACTTTTAAAAATAAGCAAAGTTACTAAATTACAGCCCTACCATAAAATGCTGGTGATAAATACCTATTAATACATTTCTTGAAAATCCTCACCACAACAACCCTATAATTCAGCGGACAACAGTGGTTATTAGACTGATAAAGTACATGAATATTTGACCAAGAGAACAAAATATTTGTTAGTTTTTATTAAATAATCAACTCGAACTCAATTAAAAACACCGATGCTTTCACTTGTGTGCTATTTGAGATCATTAAGCTGAAGCTGAAACTGCTACCACCATGGGCTTTACCATCCAAGTAACAAAGTTACACTCATCTAAATAACACTTACCTTAATAATTTTAGGATTACAATCTTCGCAAGACTTTCACCATCGAAAAAAAGCTGCTCCTTTTCGCCGGCTTCTACCCCCGCAGAACCTCAAAAAACAAATACGCATACGTTTTAGGCGCCACCGTGAATTTATTTTTGTCGATTGCACAATTCCTGTCAATGCTGATGCAACTCATAGTCAACCGAAACGACTTATCTAAACTTTCCGAAACTTTGCAGTACTTCATCACCCACACGACTTTCATCTGCAAACTCACGAATTTCGTCGTCTACAAGAAAAATCTGCTGAACATCGAAGACACCTTGGAGATGCCCATATTCTACGGGTTTTCCCACAACCATTTGAAACTGTTGAAGCAAAAAGTGGCGGCGTGTGAAAACGTGGGTACAGTTTTTCGCGTTTTGTGTGTGGCAGCCGTGGCGTTTTGGGCTTTACCGCCTTATTTGGACCCAGCGAAGTCCAAAAGCTTGCCTATACCAGGATGGTTTCCTTATAACGTTACCGACTACTATTATCCTACGTTCGCGTTTCAAATGATCGGGATTGCAAATACTGCATACACCAATTCTACGATTGACATTTTGACGTGGATGTTGATCAGTGTGGCTTCGGGGCAGTTCGAGATTTTGAAGGAGAATTTGAAAGATATTGACTATGGAAGTCCAGATTGGACAAAAACGAACGAGAGTTTCAAAAATTGCGTCAAACATCATAGAGAAATAGTCAGGTACGTATTTTAAGAGTTTTATCTACATTTAATACAAAACAATCTTCCAGGTTTGTTTACAAAATCGAGAATACGTTCTCCAAAGGAATTTTTTTGCAATTTTTTGCCAGTGTTATCGTCATTTGTTTTACAGGTTTTCTCATGATTATTGTACGTTTGTCTAAATCTACAGTGTGTTTCAAAATAATAATGACGTGAAATTTTAGGTGCCTGTTGTGAGCATGCAATTTGCTCTTCTTCTGACTTATTTCTTGTGTATGATGTGTCAAGTGGCAATGTACTGTTGGTACGGCCACGATGTCATGACAACTGTAAGTCAGTTAAATCCTTCACATAGAGTTCTAATTTCACTTTTAGAGTAACACAATTGGACAGTCTTTTCACATGTCGAATTGGTATGACTCAGATTTGACTATTCGCAGAGATGTTATAATTTTTTTGGAAAGGACTATAAAGCCTGTCACTTTGACAGCAGGAGGGTATGTTACACTGTCTCTAACAACGTTGACTGGGGTAAGAAATGAGAATTGTAGAATGAAATTCATTGTACAATCATTTTTCAGATTTTGAGATCATCGTACTCATATTTTGCGGTTCTAAGACGTTTATACAGCGATTTATAATTTGGATTTGCATTTTAACATTTCAATCGTAGTGATGTGCTTTGTTTTAATCTCGCATAATTTATATTTTGTTTATCATAATAACAACATTTTTACAATAAACGGAATTTTATCGTAATTTATGGGTATTACTAATTTTATGTAAATTGTGAAAACGATCTTGCTAATTAATACGTGTGCTATGATTATTGCTGTAGCAATAAAATATTCGGTAACCTCTCCACCTTTTGTCTCTTCAAATAAAAATTAATATTTGTTTAATGAAGGAAGATAAATAGCTAATACAAACTTATAAATTTAGCTGAAAATGGGTAAATTATACAAAAATTCCGGAACAAGTCAAGAGTAGAATTATTTATGCAGGACTAAATAGTTTTATTTTTATAAAATACGCATTGTTTATAGACATTTATTTTTGATTTAATTGTTGTTTATTGTTTTAAGATAAATTGAAAAATAAAACGAACTAGAGTTGGTGTTGTAACTTTCAAGTTTTGGGTGGTACCAATGTCGTCAATATGAACGTCACTTGATGTGTCAGTTGTATAATGTTACCACCTATACAACTGATCTCACAGCCAGCTCTAATTTGTTTTATTTTCCGTGTTTTTCCTTACCGTATTTTTTGTTGCTGTTTTAATAAAATTAACATTTCATGACCCAGTGTATGAAAAAATGTATTTTCCCTTTCCGTTTGTCTGCCTGCGGTCTGTCTGTGTCGACTTTTATTAGAGTACATTAGGGGTGGTCAAACACTAATCAAAATTTGTCTGATCATCTTCACCACTCATTTGAAGACGTCACCTCAAAATTTTGCATGGTAAATGTTATTTTAATTTTATAAAATAATATATTCCTGTACTTGTGATTTCTGAATTCGCGTTGAGGTTTCCAAATTTTCCCACAAATGAAATTCAAATTATATAAATGATATTTTAAAACAACAACAATTTCTCAAAATCGAATTTTATTATGTTTTGAAGATAAAGATAAAATTTCCTGGAATGTGCTTCCTGGGCGAGGGAAATCCTAAAGTCCAAGTAACTTCTGATCCATTTTTTTATATTTTATGTACACTTCCGATTGTAAGTAAAACAATTTCTTCGCAATGATGTACTTAATTACAAACAAAAATGAAAAATAGATGCATTTCCAAAAATACTTCAGTATTTGAGAAAGTTTCCACATTAAAACAACTAAGTTTTAATGAACTAACATTTTAGATAAATTTTTAGTAGGTGTTAAAAAAAGTAAAAGTCATTGAATCAAATTTTAGAAAAATGGAAAATCGAAAACACGAAAATTTGAAAATCAAAAAATCAAAAAATTCAAATAATCGAAAATCGAAAAATCCAAAATTCGATGAATCAGTACTAATATTTGAAAAATCGAAAACCGAAAATCGAAAGAAAAATAAATGGAAAAATCTAAGTTGAAAAATCGAAAATTGGAAACATAAAAATATCGAAATATCGAAAATTTGGAAAATCGAAACAACGAACAATCGCAAAAAAATTGGAATTATCGAAAATCAAGAAATCTAAAAACCGAATAATTCGATGAATCAAATATTTGAAAAACGGAAAATGCAAAATGCGGAAATTCGAAATCTGGAAAAATCGAAATACCGGAAAATTGGAAAATCGAAAGTAAAACAATTTTAAATTCGATGAATCAAAGATTCGAAAATTCGAAAGCCAAAAAATCGAAAATTTAAAATGTCACACAGGTAGTATTTGAGAAATTTTTAGCAGGTGTTAAAAAGTAAAAGTACTTTAATCAAATTTTAGAAAAATTGAAAATTGAGAAAACGAAAATTTGAAAAATCAAATAATTCAAATAATCGAAAATCTAGAAATCGAAAATTCGATGAATCACTACTAATATTGGAAAAACGAAAAATCGAAAAATTGAAAAACCGAAAATCGGAAACCGAAAAACCGAAAATCGAAAAGTGGAAAATAGAAAGATCGAATATCAAAAAAACCGAAAAATCGAAATATCGAAAAATCGAAAATTCAGAAAATCAAAAAAATCTTAAAACTGAAAAATTCGATGAATCAAATATTCAAAAATGGAAAATCGAAAAAACTTCAAATACCAGAAAATCGGAAAATCGAAAATAGAAAGATTTTAAATCCGATAAAACAAAGATTCGTCTTTTTCGTACTTTGTTTTTCATACTCTTCGTCCTTTTTCGTCCTTCTTCGTCCTTTTTCGTCCTTTTTGTCCTTTTTTGTCGTTTTCGTGGTTTTTCGATCTTTTCGTCCATTTCGTTGTTTTCGTCCTTTTCGTAGTTTTTCGTTTTTTTCGTACTTTTCGTCCTGTTCATCCTTTTTCGTCTTTGTTGTATTTTTTCGTCCTTTCCGTCCTTTTCATCCCTCTTTGTCCTTTTCGTTCTTTTCGTCCTTTTTCGTCCTTTTCATCTTTGTTCGTCTTTTTCGTAGTTTTTTGTCCTTGTCGTCCTTTTCCGTCCTTTTCGCCCTTTTCGTCCTTTTAGTCCTTTTTCGTCGTTTTTCGTCCATGTCGTCCTTTTCGTCCTTCCCGTCCTTTTTCGTTCTTTTCCGTCCTTTTCGTCGTTGTCGTCCTTTTCGTCCTTTTTGCGTCGTTTTTCGTCCTTGTCGTCCTTTTCGTCCTTTTTCGTCCCTTTTTGTCCTTGTCGTTCTTTTTCGTCCTTTTCGCTCTTTTCGTGCTTTTAGTGCTTTTTCGTAGTTTTTCGTTCTTTTCGGCCTTGTCGTCCTTTTCGTCCTATTTCGTCCTTTTCGTCCTTTTTCGTCCTTTTCGTAGTTTTTCGTCTATTTCGTTCTTTTTGTCCTTTTCGTCCTCTTTCGTCCTTTTCGTCCTTTTCGTCGTTTCCGTCCTTTTTCGTTCTTTTTCGGCCTTTCGTAGTTTTTCGCCATTTTCGTTCTTTTTGTCCTTTTCGTCCTTTTTTGTCCTCTTTCATTCTTTTTCGTCTTTTTCATCTTTGTTCGTTCTTTTCGTAGCTTTTCGTTCTTGTCCTTTTTCGTCCTTTTCATCCTTGTTGTTCTTGTCGTTCTTTTTCGTCGTTTTTCAATCAATCAATACTTTATTGGTGTTAAAAACTACAAATACAGTTTTACACAAGTCGAATACACAAGTCAAACACATTTAAATTAAACCAATAAACTATTAAAATTTCTACACCGAAGATAATCCTCAAAACTATAAAAACAATTCCTAATAAGAAAAGTTTTGAGCTTTTTTTTAAATATATTAATAGACTTATTACGAAACTCTTCGCCCTTGTCGTTCTTTTCGTCCTTGTTCGTCCTTTTTAGTCTTTTTTTGTCCTTGTCCTCCTTTTTGTCCTTTTCGTCCTTTTAGTCCTTCTTCGTAGTTTTTCGTTCTTTCCGTCCTTGTCGCCCTTTTCGTCCTATTTCGCCCTTTTCGTCCTTTTTCGTCCTTTTCGTCCTTTTCGTCCTTTTCGTCCTTTTCGTCCTTTTCGTCCTTCTTCGTCCTTTTTCGTTTTTTTTTTCGTCCTTCTCCGTCCTTATTCGTCCTTTTTCGTCCTTTTCGTCCTTTTATGTCCTTTTCGTAGTTTTTCGTCTTTTTCGTCCTTTTCGCCCATTTCATCCTTTTTCGTCCTTTTCGTCCTGTTCGCCCTGTTTCGTCCTTATCGTACTTTTTCGTTCTGTTTTATCTTTTTTCGTCCTTTTTGTCCTGTTGGTCCTTTTAGTCCTTTTGGTCCTTTTCGTCCTTTTTGTCCTTTTCGTTCTTTTCGTCCTTTTGGTCCTTTTGGTTCTTTTGTCCTTTTAGTCATTTTAGTCCTTTCCGTCCTTTTCGTCCTGTTCTTTTGGTCGTTTTCGTTCTGTTAGTCCTATTTTTTCCTACTCTATGGGCCTGAAATGTCGAGAAAACATGAAAGTAGACACTGGTCCGGTGGACCGTATAACAATACAAATTCATAGCCCCATAGTTTATGCTTGGAAAGTAGAAATAAATATTTTGTTTACTAGTTATTTTTGCTTTCTCTCCTTTTCTATTGCTACTTCCACCAATGCAAAAGTGTAATTTTCACATCTCTAAGATTAATACTCGTAAGTCATGTCTTATATTTTTAAAGAAGATCATCTAAAATCATTAAAAAAGATGAAAGAGAGAGATGCTAAATTTTTTTTCTGAAAAAGGTACTGTTCAGGTTCTTTTCAGATATGTCTCTAGTTAAGTCAGTCAGTTAGACTACATGCTCTCTATATTTTTTGCAAGAACTGAGACGGTACAGATTTAGTAAATATTCTTATATTAGCTTGCATAGATATTGTAGCCGTCCATAAAGTCGAAATTTGCGAATAAAAATAAAATAAAACCGCTTCAAACGGAGCCGACGGTGGCTTGCAAATTCTGACGTCACTCTGGCACACGTTGTACAGAGACGTATTTAATAGTAAATCTTTTCCGTTATGATATAATCTGTTTCATTTCTGAGCTCAATCTCGTCAATAAAAACGAAGTTTTGTTCACTGTACACAAGTTGTGGTATGGTATATTCATCGCTGCGGAGGTAGGTGGAGAGAAAAACCTAGCCATCTTAGCAGCAAACACGGCTATAAACTAGTACACGTGGACTGTTTGTTTCCTGTCATATTTTAGTTTGCTTGAACCAATTGTGTTGCACCAAATGGTTACTATACTTGTTGAAATACATTTTCAAACTTCCATCTTTCTCTAGATCGTCGGTTTCGTAGCTGTGTGACAAATCGTTTGTCGTAGATAGAAAATAGTAAGATTACAGTGACCCTAAGATTTTGTTCAAACGGCCTTAAATACACCCCTGTGTGATGCGACGCGTGCCGTAGTGACAGAACTTGTAAGCCGTCGTCGGCTCCGTTTGAGCCGGTTTTATTTTATTTTTATTCCCAAATTTCGATTCTATGGCCGGCTACAATATCTATGCAAGCTACTATAACTAAATTTAGCTAACTCTAAGGAAAATATGGTTTATTGCCTATATCGCCACATCCGGAGTTCCACAAGGATTGAATTTCAGTCAGGAGTTATGTTGAATATTTATCAACGACGTTTAGGGTATGAAACTGACTGACAAACTATTGTTTGGAAAATACACCTTGTGATAAATTGACTCCAACACTGTCTCAAACATCAGAACGATTTAAAAGCTGTCATACACCAATGGCGTGTAAACCACCTTACACTAAAATATCAAGAAAAGTTATGTTTCTTACCACTTTTTCAACAGAAATGGCATAACCGGGAGTTAAGAAAGTTTTCAAATTTATAGCTCTGTTATTCTTATTCTTATTATTTTTATTAAATTTATATATAGGCTAGTTAACCATGTAGACTGGTTGTAGCTGCTAATTCTACTAAATTTATTGTCCATTGCATTGTTTGAAATCCTGACCATGGATGGATATCAGTACATTAGCAATATATACACAAATTAAATACGTGATGCTCCAAGGGCGTCCTCACCTACTGAAAATAAATAAATTATTATTACTAATTGTGTCTCAGATTTATTTTAAAATCCCATATTTTTACCTATACAAAATAGACAAGACAAGTCACGGCTGAGAAAGTAGGCAATATTTTAACTTCAAGGTGTAGAAGAAAAAGTGGTGAGAATTTATGGTTTTGTTAAATAATTTATTTATATTATTTAATTTAAATTTTTATTACTCAATTTATATGCATACTTAGTTCAAGAATTAATTTTAAAAACATGTGTAAAAATTCATCACAACAGTACACTTTTAAAAATTTGTAAAGTTGAGCCTTTCTGTCGCCAAAGCTTGAACAATTTTCAAATTAACTTAATAACAGTGCTTAAAATAATCTACGACTTTTAAAATTATCCTGACCGTTATTAAAAAACAATCGGGGTACCAGTATTTAAACTTCTTAATTTTTTAATGCACCCACTTCGCCTTAACCTCCCCTCCATATTTAATAGTGTCTGGTTGGCCCAGATGATCCATAATCAATACTTTATCAAATTAAAAAGCCATTAAATTCCTGAAATCCTTCACAGGTACCTATTATAGTAGTTTTCGCACTTTTTCAAACCAATCGAGTAAACAAGAACCCTATAATTCCAGAAGCTACCCCTGCTTATTACGCCGTAAGCGTGCATTAATATTTGACCAAGAGAATAAGATATTTTTGATTTGAATCCCGTTAGTAATCAAGGGTTACTACCAATTACGAACACGGTGGTAGATTTCACTTAAACACCGACTAGTCAGTATGGCTTTCACTATAAGGGTATTAACACAACCCGAACAATCCCGTTTTTTAATAAATTTTTTTCAGGAGTACGATCTCAGGAAAACCTTTCAAACCGAACGAAAACTACTATACTTCGCTGGATTTTACCCCCGAAAAAGTTCAAGACTCAGTTTATACTTTTTAGGACGCGTTGCAAACGTTTTTTTGTGTGTCACACAAATCATCTCCTGTGTAGTGCAAATGATAATCGACAGAAACAACCTGGAAAAATTTTCAGAGACGCTTCAGTATTTCATAACCTTGTCTACGTACTCGTGTAAACTTACTAATTTTGCGTTCTACAAGGACCGTCTGCTGAAAATTGAAGATTTTTTAACTCTACCAATTTTCTATGGATACTCTCAAGACCAACTGAAATTGTTAAAACAAAAAATCGCCGCTTGTAACACTATCGCTACCATTTTTCGCTTTTTGTGCTTCGTGGCGGTGCTGTTTTACGCTTTTCCGCCATTTTTGGACCATCAGAAGTCAAAAAATTTGCCCATCACGTTATGGTATCCGTATAACGTAAGCAACTACTACTATTTTACGTTTGTGTATCAAATGACCGGTATAGCTAACACGGCGTATGCAAATTCAACCATTGATGTGTTGTGCTGGATGTTGATAAGTGTAGCATCTGGACAGTGTGATATTTTGAAGGAAAATTTGAAAAATATTGATTATGAGCTTGAAGATGCGGAAAAGGCGAAAGAAAATTTTAAAAAGTGTGCACAACACCACAAGGCCATTATTAAGTAAGTGTCAAACTAGTCTAACTTTTGTGACACTAATTTTTCAGGTTGGTCTCTGAAATTGAAAAGTTGTTTTCAAAAGGGATATTTCTGCAATTTTTCGCCAGTGTCGTTGTTATTTGTTTCATCGGATTTATGATGATTATTGTAATTTTTTAACAAGTTTTGTCGAAGTGATGTAAAATCGCGAATTTTAGGTACCTGCTATGAGTTCGCAGTTTGTTTTTTTGGTTTTATATTTTCTGTGTATGATGTGGCAGATAGCGATGTATTGTTGGTATGGACATGATATTATGACGACTGTGAGTTAGATTATGTTACTATAAGAAGGAATATTTTTGGGATGTTTTCGTTCTAGAGTCATACGATTGGCGAGTCCTTTTATGTGTCAAATTGGTACGAATCAGATCTTTCAGTTCGTAAGAGTGTCGTCATATTTTTGGAAAAGGTTAAGAAGCCTTTGACTGTGACTGCGGGAGGGTTTGTTACATTGTCGCTGACAACATTAACTAGTGTACGTTTTGGTGAGTCAAAAATTCAGAGTACATTTTGGAATTTTGCAGATTCTGAGATCTTCTTACTCCTATTTTGCTGTTCTTCAACGTTTGTATAATGAATAGTCATGGTTATATCAAAGATAACTGTACCATTTTCAAATTTAAAGTAAAATCTGGTTGGTTACTAATTTGGAAGCCTTTTTGTTTAATAAATATAACTTAAGAAAATTTTGTGTACTTATTTATTTATTTTTATTCAAGGTGATGTGATGATACTTCGTTTCAATGTCATACAGGGTGTGTCAGTTTAACTAATATGTCAAAACTTCTATACTGATAGCAGTTTTGAAGTAATGGTAGTCTGTCTAGAAAAACACCCTGTATATTTATTTCTATACAGGGTGTTATTGAAAAGTACGTACAACAAAATTGACAGTTCTTCACGAAGTCTAAGAAGCCTGAAAAACTTTATTTCTGTTATCAAAATTATAAGGGGAAAATTAACCCCTATCCAACCTTTTTAGACGCTACTGAAGGATAAATAGGTAAAATTAATTTATTTTAGTAAATTCTAGCAACTGTAACAATAATAAAAAAATAAGAGACCCTTTTGTTGCTATAGAAACGGAAGATGACCTTTTTATCAGAGGCGTACGACGAATTTGGACATAAATTTTAATAATGTTTATCTCTAAAAGGAGAACATTTTTACCTGAACTTTTTTTAATTTTAGCACCCATACTTCGAGACCAATTGCCGGTTTTATTTTGTACGTACCTTTTAATAACACGCTGTATATTTAACATAATGAGCTAAAATCAGCTCATATTATATCATTTCAAAAATTACAAATTTCTGCATAAATTTAACAAAACTTTATTTTTATATTTCCAATATTTTGGAAGTTAAAGTAACAAAGAATTTCAGTTTTAATCAAATAAATAATTTTATTGAGTATTTTGAAAAACGTTCTATTTACCTAATACCATGTTTGATTTTTACTTCCTGAACACAAGTGATGGCTACTTTCATATTTTCTCAAAGTTTTCTTTTTCGTCTGTCTGTGGCGATTTTTATTAGACATATAATCTCCCAAACTACTGAACTAATTGTTGTCAAATTTTATATGTATGCAAGGGTCGTGTAGATGGTAAAACGCTAACCGAAATTTATCTAATCAGCACCAATAGTCTAAAAATTGCGCATGGTGACTGTTATTGAAATTTTATTAAATAACATATTCCTGTACTTGTGGTTTATGAATCTGCCTTGATTTTTCTCTAAGCATACACATTTTCGAGAAAAAATTTAAATTATAAAACAAATAAACTAAAGTTGTAGGTTCCAATATCTTATGCAGCATTTTTTACTTCCCGAGCGTAAGCTAAGGTGTATGCTTTCTCGACGGTTCATGACCCCTTCAGTACGAAAAAAGTAGTACCCCGTTTCCGTCTGTCTGTCTGTCTGTCCAAAACTGCTGGACCGATTGTTGTTAAATTTTGTAGGTATGTTAGAAATATCATGTAGACGGTTAAATGCTAGGCAAAAATTTGATAATCATCCCCACCAACAATTTGACGAACAATAGAGAAATATGTATTTTGCAATTACGCAGGAATGAAAAATTGATCACAATTGAGATAATAATTTTTGTTTTTTTTTTAATATATAAAGTTTTCTTCCAACGATAGGATAGTTAAACTTGTTTTCAGTTTCATGTTGGGAAAAGAAGATTTCTTATATTAAGAAAAAAATGGACAAAATATAAGCCCCGCCCACCCACCCATTCTCAATTGTGATGAATGTTTTATTCATTATGAGCTGAAGGGCGGAGTTTAGCTGCAAAATCCTCATTTCTCTACAAGAAATTGCCATATGAAATATGTTTTTGAAAGAATAGAATTTTTTAGAGAAATATTGATGTAAAAACATGTTTCATTATGATAATTTCTTGTAGAGAAATGAGGATTTTACATTAAATTCCGTCCTTCGGTCTGATTAGGAATGAAAAACTCATCACAATTGAGTTCGGGGCGGGTGGGTGGGGCTTACTTTTTGTTTTGTGTTTTTTATATATAGGTATAGAGTTTTCTTTCAACAACAGGATACTTAAATATGTTGTCAGTTTCTTGTTGGGAAAAGAAGACTTCGTTTAATAAGAAAAAATAGACAAAATATAAGTTAACTTCTCAATTGTGATGAATGTTTTATTATTCATGAGCTGAAGGGCGGAGTTTAGCTGCAAAATCCTCATTTCTCTACAAGAAATTGCCATATGAAATATGTTTTTAAAAGGGTAGAATTTTTTAGAGAAATATTGATGTAAAAACATATTTCATATGATAATTTCTTGTAGAGAAATGAGGATTTTACATTAAACTCTGCCCTTCGGTCTGATTAGGAATGAAAAACTCATCACAATTGAGTTCGAGGCGGGTGGGTGGGGCTTAATTTTTGTTTTGTTTACTTTTTTAATATATAGAGTTTTCTTTTAACAGGATAGTTAAATATGTTGTCAGTTTCTTGTTGAGAAAAGAAGACTGCGTATAATAAGAAAAAATGGACAAAATATGAGGCCCGCCCACCCGCCCCTTCTCACTTGTAACGAATGTTTTATTCCTCATGAGGTGAAGGGCGCAGTTTAGTTGCAAAATCCTCATTTCTCATAAATCAAAACTTTGAAAAATTGTAAAAATAAAGAAAATAAAAAATTGAAACGAAAAATTGCAAACGGAAAAATTAAAAATTGAAAACTCTAGAAATTGATTTGAAAAGTTGTAAAATTTAAACATTTTAACTTGGAAACTTGGAAAGATGGAACAAAAAAAGGAAAAATTGAAAAAAAATGCAAGTCAAATAAGCTGCGGGAGCGTTATTTACGCCACTGGTTTTTACTTTATAGAGGTTATCAGAAAACAAAAATCGCAAAAAAGACACTTCAGGGGCGAGGGAAGTTCTGTTGAAATAACCTTCGACCAATTTTTTTATTTCACTGTACCTAGAAGCTACTTAAATTATCGCTTTGAATTTTAAATGTGCTTTAAAATTGTTGTGGGGATGGTAAGGCGTTGGTCAAAGTTTATTTCTTCATCCTCTCTAAAAAAAGGATGTATCGATCTCTCTCGGATGTCATTTGAACAAAACGTGTTGTCTTCCCCAAGAAATTTAAAATAAAACCAGCGGTAATTTTTACAATAATTTTGGAAAAGTAATTGTTATAAATCTGTCTGTAGTTTTGAAAAATATTACCAATGTACTATTTATACCCTTAAATTTCATTACCTTTTATTTATTCATATTTTATTGCATTTCGTCCTTTCTTAGCTTAACTTTGGCTTTTTATTTTTCTTTTTGTTGTTTATATTTTATTTCTTTAAGAAAAAAATTTTTACTATTTTTAACATCTATCTACTACAACTTTATGTAAAAAGTTTTTTTTTTCGTTTTTGTTTTTACTGACCGAGCTTAAGCCAAGCTTAATAGGGCCCATCCGGTGAACGGCTACTTTCATGTTTTTAGATATTTAGAATATGAAAAAATAGGTCTCCTTTTTTCATCGATCTGTCTGTTATAGTATCGATTTTTTCAGACAAACAATCTCCACTGAATGTTGTCAACTTTTAGACGCATGTTAGGAACATCCTGTAGATGATATGACGCTAATTAAAAATTGCGTAATCATCTCCAACAATTTGATAACTCAACACAAAATTTTGCTTAGTAAATAGTAATTAAGTTCCATAAAATAACATATTCCTGTACTTGTGGTTTATAAATCCGCCTTAATTTTTATCACAATTACTTTACAAAAATTTTCCTGCAATACTCGGTACCTGAATCTATTTCTGTTCATTCGGTGGCCCATAATACTGTAACATTTATTTACCACAACACCAAAACCAATCACGCTCGAATCGAATTAGTTTTTTAATTTGGTAACTTTATTTTGAAACACCTACGTATTTTTAAAAATACTCATTTTTCTCAGAATATTTTCTGTTCTAAGATGTTAACATCTAGACTCTTGAGGTACTATTTAAAAAAATATGGTATATATATGGAGAAAATGGAAAGATTTGACTTGAAGTTTTACTTGCATTCCTGATAGGATCATCTTGTTATAAAAACAAAAAAAAAATAAAAATTTAATTTACCACTTATATTTACTGAAATACCAACACTTTGAGGACGTCATCTCAATATTATGCATAGTGACTGTTATAGATATTTCATAAAATAACATTAACTGTACTTGCGGTTTATGAATCCGCCTTAATTTTTTTCTCCTAGGCATCCAGATTTTCACAAAAAAAAATCCAAATTGAATATCAAACATTAGATTACCTTTTGCAGCTTTTTATTAATTTCATTATGACTGTTATTATCCATATTTTGCAGGCTTATAGGATTTATCATAAAAAAATATATAATTTCCCAAAATCAAGTTTATAAATTTTCGAAGTAGCGGGATAAATTTAAAGCAGTAAATTTTTTATGGTTGATCAATCATTTTCTCAACTAGTTACGTTCGATTTATATGGCAATCTAGTTGCAAGAAAATTTTCAGTTAGAATCGAATCCAAAAGTTTGTAATGTAAAATGAAAAATGTACCAAAGCAAAATAACAAATAAAAACAAGTGATCGAGACAGACCGTTGAAATATTTTACGTCCCCCAAAAAATAAAATAGGCAGAATCGAAATTGAAATACGTAAAATAGCGCCAAAAGTAAGAAGAGCAGAGTATAATAAAGAAAGATACAAGAAGAAGAAATTTAGTTTCAAGAAAATATCAAAAAGGCTGTGAAGTTATTTATTCTCAGTTTTCACTTCAGCGAATGGCTGTTTTCATTATTTCTCGATTTTTTATTATCGTTAGAATATAAAATTAGGACTTCCGTTTCCGTCTGTCTGTCGTCTGATTATTGTCAAATTTTATGCAGATATTAGGAAAATTGTGTAGATGGTAAGACGCTAACCAAAATTTGTCTAGTCATCCCCACCAACAATCTGATGACGTCAGTTCAAAGAATTCTATGTTTTTTTGACTTAACTGTTATACAACAATATAGTCCCATAAGTGTGGTGTACGAATCCGCTTTGAATTTTTCCTTAATCGTTCGA